AAGCACCTGTTGGCGCGTCCTTCGCAACGGCGTTCTTGTACACCGGAAATGGATCCCGCGTGATACATCACATGACTTACCTGACGTCAGTGACTGATCTGCCATCATGTTCATGTTGACAAATCTGAAAAGAAAACAATGAAATTCGGGGTGAACACGAACGTTTGAGAACCTAAGAAAGAGAAAAAGGCAGGTAAAACACAAGAAGAGCATTTAACGTAAATTATGCAGTACATTTTTGGTTAGTTATTGTTATAGTATCAAGATAATTTCTCACTCAAATGGACACGGATATTCTTGCTGATCTCATTGAAATAATATTTCAATATTGGAATCTATTTGTCATGCAGTTCGCTTGTAATAGATATACACCAGCGTATAAAATTATTACCTATATCACATTATGTTAAACAAACATGCAATGCTATGTATTATCATGCATCATGTTCCTTGCTTGAAATTTAATATAGCCCACGTATATGAAATTGAAACGTTTATGTTGTTGTAGCAAATTTCTCACAAAATCAGTTATCCATCCACTTCTTCAGTGAGACGCTTTGCCTGTTTTAGGAGTTATAATAATCAGTGTTCGAAATAACTATGGTCTGAACCACCCAATACACCCCAATTTTGCAATCGATCAGATTACCGGCCAGCTTAGCTTGTAAAATTTTTTGATAATAAAAATTCATTTATTTCAGAGTTGTGGAAAACTGTCAGTCATGCTGGCAAAACTGACAAAAAATTCGCATGACCGGTAAAAATGCTATCAATGTTGGTCCAAATGACCGGCCCCTTTTTTTGGTTAAAGTTTTTTTGTTTTTCCATTTATCATCTGTGCATTTCCCGTCTTCATTATCGTACCTTATATGCGATTGCGTAATACCTTTTCTTTAAACGAAATCGAGGCTGTAAATGAAAGCAAAACTAGCATGGTTCTCGTGACCTATTAAATTTACAATTTGGGCAGAATGGGGTAGAAATACGTATCAAAGAAAAAAATAAAGTTTAGAGGAGCTAAATATGAAAAATTCTAACAGAAAGAATTCAAGCACAGGTGGGGAAAGCAGTAAATCTAGTACTCCAGACTGTTCCGGATTTTCGTTTTTTTTACCAATTGTGTTGATATCTTTATTATCGATGCAAAGAATTTTTGCAATTTCTAGACCCATTTTCAAGGTTTATATAATTCCCAAATCCATAAATGTTTTTAAAAAAATTACACTCACTCTGCTGAATTAGCATTGTGACCTGCCCAAAAGCGTTGGTATCTAGTATTGTTATTAACGCAAAATCAAAAGAAAAAAGAAGAGGACTTGCAAATGGAGACTGAATTTTGTATCATTATTAACATGATTTATTAAAAAGATGTGCTATAAAGTGAATAAATATTGATTTTTTTTTTCATTTTGCTACTTACTATTTCGGACCGACAAAAATCACTTTGGACCGTTTCGGACCGACAAAAATCACTTTGGACCGGCTCATTTTGTTTTCTTGCCGGTCCAAATGACCGGCTATCTGAGAAAGTTTTCCACAACTCTGTTATTTAATATGTCTCTTTTAAATCAACTAAAAGTATAAGTAACAAAGTTTAACAAACCAAGATGGCAAGAGGAAGGATTCATCAGTCCATAGATTCAGGATTCTGGTTCCAGTCACATAACTATAAACTTGAAACAAATTTTATTTCCAAGGCTATTAGATCTTTGTCAGGGCTGAAAACATAGTACAATTCTCAGTTAATCTTGGACTTTCAGTAAGGTGTGGCATTCTTGACATGCATAATTAGTGTCTGAAATTTACACAGCTTTCATTCACTGTTGAAATATATACATGGGATGAGGATGTCAGTGAGTGTTGCAATTATCCACTACAGCATCTCATAAGACAAAGAGGTGGAGCTTACGACATCTCATGGTTGTCAGCAACAATTGAAAGTTCCTGATGATATTAATTTCTCAGAACCAATGAGAATCTATTTGCCATTTGACAGATGTTTATTGTGTAGCGCTGAGGATGCCAGGGCTTACTGAAAGTTCAAGGTTAACTTAGAATTGTACTAAACTAGCAGTCATCCTTGCACATTTGGGATGGATGATCAGTAAATCTATGATCGGTTAGAATGATTGATACCCCCATATAAATTCAACTAAAGGTTAGAAGGTAAAAGCACAGAAGTTTAAGAGAAACAAGCTACTTCAAAAAATTGTGGCCCCCTCTTTCGGTGTCTTAGTAGGTTATGATGAAGATGCCATTATTTATGGCATATTGTTTCAAATATGAATACTCCATCACATGTCATTCAAAAGTAATCCCTAAAGTTAATATTTTTGAAAATTGGGTCAAACATGAAGGTGAAGGGGACAAAAATCATAGCGTCCTTGTAAACATCTTGTCACAGGTAAGGCACATGTCAAATATGAAAGCAATATCCCTTCTCAATCAAAAGTTAAAAGGAAAAAAAAAACATTTTTGAAATGTTTGTTAACCTTTATGGTCAAGGACACAGGGGAAAGAATTAGAATATATTTAGAAAAGTCTTTTCACAGATAATATGCAGTTGTAATATGAAAACCATATGTTTTCTCTTTCAAAAGTTATGACCAATTTAAAGTACCAGTAATATTAAATTTTGTAAAAAGTACCCCGGTAGGTCAAACTTCAAGGTCAAAGGGTCAGAAATCATGACATATTTGGAAAGGTCTTGTCACAGGTAATTTACATGTAAAACTTGAAGTTTATTCTCATTCAAAAATTATGACCAAGGTTAAAGTTTTTGTGACAGACGAACAGACTAATACAGATGGACAGTGGAATGAGATTTAATTTCCTTTTGCTTTTGCAAAGCAAGCTCTTGACTACTAACTGCAGAAAGCAAACAGTATACTAGAACATGTAACTTTGTATTGACCATAGGGAAAGTAAGGTCATGCAATACCCATTTTTCATTGATGCTGCATTTTTGCATTCTTCCAATAATTTTAAATACTGGGTACATTTATGCTAAAATATTAAAGACAGCTTCTCTCCCTGTGCATTCAGTGTAATTTTATAATGCCCACAGTACAATTTAACAGCCTATGTTAACTGTCAGCTGTGAGGAGTGACAATAAATTACCCTACACTTGATTAATTTTGATTAATTACTCTCACTGTAGTCTTTGTCCTATCATGTTGATGTAAAAGTACCAGTTTACTGGTAAAGCTTATACACTGTAGACACAACTTGCTCAGCTATCATATCTAAGGAATGTGAGAGAAGTTTTTTTTCTCTTCTGTGGATATATGCTACTAAATTAAAAAAAATATTTGACACATAATATTAAGGTTTGTACTGATTTTACTACATGTAGATGTTCTATCTTGATATAGGGGGAGACAGGAAGAAGAAGAAGAAGAGATGTCTCAGAAGTCCAAGTTACTTAAAGTTGTTCTTCTCGGGGATGGAGGTGTTGGAAAAAGCTCTTTAATGAACCGATTTGTCAGTAACAAGTTTGATGCCCAGTCATTTCACACCATTGGTGTGGAGTTCTTGAACAAAGATGTCAGCTTTGAGGGAGAGAATTACACCATGCAGATATGGGACACTGCAGGCCAGGAACGCTTTAAGAGTTTACGGACACCGTTTTATCGCGGAGCTGATTGTTGTTTGTTGACTTTCGCTGTTGATGATATTCAGAGTTTTAAAAATCTGGCAATGTGGAAAAAAGAATTCTTGTACTATGCTGACATTCAAGACGGTAACAATTTTCCTTTTGTGATACTAGGAAACAAAATAGATGTGGAAAATCGAATGGTTTCCAATGAAATGGCTCAAGAGTGGTGTCAAGCCAATGGACAAGCTCCCTATTTTGAAACCAGCGCTAAAGATTCCACGAATGTTGACGAAGCATTTAAAGCAGCGATCAAACGCTTACGGGACCTAGAGGATGTGATAGAGATCAAAACCCAGCATGGAAACACGGTAGACCTGAAGAGAAAGGCCAAGTCACAGAGCTCAGGGTGCTGTGGCAACTAATGAGATTGTTTTAGCCTATTACTTAGCAAATTTTACTTTCATTTCAATATTTTGGCATTCAATGCATCTTTTCTGCTAATATTCTGTATATTTTGTAACTAGCATTCAGACTCTTTGAAAGTGAAATTATCATGTGACCAAGGTAAAAGTTTCTGTGACAGACATACGGACGGACAGAGTTATGAGAATCAATGTCCTCTCACATTCGTGAAAGGGAGGAAAGTTTTATCATGTGAATTAAAATAATAGAGGGAGGAAGCATGTGCAATAAAAGCCAATACATGGTGTTCATGCTGATTGGTAGGGATGCTGTGTCTTAATTAAAAAGAAAAACGTCAGGTGACATTGTGTATATTGGTAGCATAAAAATGTAAACAGTAATTTTTTTGTGTTTGGAGTATATAATCATGTTGAAATCGAAAGAGTTGTGACTGAAAACATTTGTTTAAATTATTGGTCAAATCATTCAATTTTGATGTGTTTTGATACTTTATGAAAACAATAAAGGATACATATGTTTTTAAACTGTTGATTTATTTCTAAAACGAGATGTGTGTAAAACACTTTTGCCCCCTCCCAATTAATTGAAACTTCTGTAAGTCCAACGGGGCACATATCTGACTAAAAGGCTTGATCGTACCCAAAACAGAGCTTGACCTCGATATTCATATGATAAATCTTTATACAAAATTTCATTTCAATATGTTCAACCTCTGTGAAGAAAATGAATGGAAACTGCAAATAACTGGAATTTTTAAAAGTCCAAGGGGCATAACTCTGACAAAAAGGGCTCGATCGTACCCAAAACAGAACTTGACCTCGATATTCATATCATAAATCTCTATACATTTCATTTCAATATGTGCAACCTCTTAGAAAATAATGAACGGAAACTGCAAATTACTGGAATTTTTTCTAAGTTCAAGGGGCATAACTCTGTCAAAAAGGCTCGATGGTACCCAAAACAAAACTTGAGCTAGATATTCATATGATAAATTTGTATGCCGAATTTCATTTCAATATGTGCAACCTCTGCAAAGAAAATGAACGGAAACTGCACACAATTAGAATTTTTCAAAGTCCAAGGGGCATTACTCTGTCAAAAAAGGTGTTATCGTATCTTAAACAAAACGGCATAGATAATCTTGTGATAAATCTGTATACCAAATTTCAACGGAAACTGATGGTGGACCGACAGACAGGAACAAAGCAATATGCCCTCACTTCTTCGAAGGGGGGTATAATTAGTAGTACATTAAAACTTGGTTAGAATGAAGTCTCTGGGACCAGTAAAATTACTCCACTATATCCTTGATTCGTAATATCTGTATATTTGTTAGATCCTCCTTCTTTTGTTTGTAAATCTTTTTTGCTCCTCCGGGGACCCAAATGAGACTTATAAAATTCGGAATATCTGTGTTCAAAAAGAGTTTTACTGTATATATACATTTGAATTTTCATTGAGTTTGCTTAATTCTGATGTTAAACAACCCAGAAAGATATAACTATACTTGAACTTCAGTTTTTCAAACACTGATATTTCGTATATACCACGAATGTTGGAGTGATTCAAAAGTCCAAATCATTTTTTCTTCAAGTACAAATCAACAAAATATTAATTACATTGGTTACTTTCATGAAATACTCAAAATGGTTACTTTCATGAAATACTCAATTTTGCAAGACGAAACCTCATAATCATACACTTTGTTTACTGGCTGAATACCCCAAAAGGGATTTTTGAAAGAGATAATACATTTTTCAATATCCCCTCTCTAACACCAAAACCCTTTACCAAGGGGCCACTAAATTCACAATTTTGGAGAAGATACTCTTTCTCATTATAACTATAAGTAAGTCTGTTTGCCTAAAAAACCAGGAGCAGAAAAGAAGTTAAAGAAGGATAACGAGATAACGAAAACAGCATTCAATATCAAAGTCCATAAAACAATACAAAATAGGAGCAGAGCAAACACGGACCTCCGAAACATCAGAGGTGGGATCAGGTGCCATGGAGGAGTGAGCATCCCCTGCTGAACGGTCACACCCGCCGTGTGCTCATTGTCATGATCATTGTCATGATCGTGAAATAACGGAAAAATCCGTCGTCAATTCAGTGTATAAATAATGGACTAATAAGGTATGAAAAACGTCAGTCAGCATTTGACTCAATGAAAATTGTATTTGCTGATAACGTCATTGTATCGACCATAGAACTTACGAAATGATGACATTAAACGAGACCGTTGATATTCTTGTTTCATCAACTTGATTGTCAATAACCTACCTCGTTTTTAAAATTGTTCATACGTAGAACATGCTCTTGCGTATCGAATCAACTGAGATATATACACTCCGTATGCAGGTGATGAAGGTATATTACTGCAAAAGTAAGGGAAGTTGACGATAGAAAAGTAAAAGTCGTCACGTTTATCATATAACTTGGTTGTTAGGTTACCATTAACGTCTTTTTCAAGTAAAATATCCAAGTATGAAACAGATGTGTCAGACTCTGTGGTATCTTTTATTTCAAGCTCTGCTGGATATATCGTATAGACGTAGGAATGGAAATTACCATTGTTAATTGACAATACGTCGTCGATATATCTGAAGGTCGAGTTGAAGGCCACAGCAAGTGCTTTCTTCTTTTCACGCATAAGATTTTGCATAAATTCTGCTTCCTATGAATACAAAAATATGTCTGCTAATAACGGAGCGCAATTGGTTCCCATGGGAATTCCAATAGCTTGTTGGAAGACCTGGTCTCCAAAACCATATAGATATTGTCAATGAGAAACTCAACCATCTTTTTGATGTCAACTTCAGAATACTTGTGTGTACAATTAGAATGTGTTTTAACAAAATAATTTTGCAAATGACCAATGACCAGGTAAGTAAATTTACGAGTTCCATTTTTATTGAAGAAACAGCTGTCAATGATATCAAAAGGCCTGGACTTTAATTTATCGTGGGGAATGGTTGTGTATAAAGTTGAAAAGTCGTAAGTTTTTAAGCTGTTGATTTTGGTAAAATCTTGTGATTTCAAATTGTCCAAAAGTTCTTTGGAGTTTTTTAGTATCCACATCTGATTCACATCACACCACTTCTTGAATATATAGTTGCACGGTACTCTTGAAGATTTTTTTTCACTACTGTCAATATCTTAGTGAGGAGTAACGAAAGAGGCTTGGTTGAACATTTACTGGAACCTGCAATGTATCTTTGAAAGGAATACTGCATTTTCACAATAACAGAGCCCTGCCCTTAAAAAATTATACCGGAACTCACGATTCAGTGGTTCCAGAGAACAAACTGAAAATGTTCAAATGTTATTCCAAGATGGATGACGCGTGACGACGGACGAAAACAGCTAAAAAGACTTATTATGTAGCAATATACCTTATTCCCTGTATATAGGGTTTATGTCTCCCAGCTGATTTGATACACAGGAGCATGCTTTACATGCTAACAGTATCTAAAACGAGGCAAGCTATTGACAGGTCTATGAAACATTAAGAATACTAAGTAAAGTCATCATTTCACAAGTTCTATGGCGACGACTTTGTCAGCAAATACAATCGACCAAGAATAAGTTGGAGCCTTTTTTATATCTATTAAGCCATGATCGACGAATTGTTTACATACTGAATTGTCTACGGCTTTTTCCGTTTTCCCGAATACGAGACAGCAGCATACGGAGGGTGTGACCGATATCGACAGGGATGCTTACTTCTCCTTAGCCATGATCCTCCTTTTCATAAACAACAAGATGCTCCTTGGGGATTTTTTTTTTTGCAAATACGAGCACATAAAGTCTACATACAGTACTATGAAGATATACAAACTGTCACCAACAGAAGCTATGGAAAGGAACTATTTTATTGTCTGTTGCAAAATGGAGCTTATAGTCTCATATTACCTATTTTTTCTTACTTCGAAATACTAACATCGCAATGTAACTGTCATGAAGACATGTAATAGAAAGAGAGTATAAGCAAACAGCACCATCATGAATTTGATAAAATTCTTGTGTAGGGAAAGGTATGTCCTTGCATTCTTAGAAAAGCCTTTCTGCTCAGAATATGTGGTATACTGGATTTGAAGCACACGCCAATTCTGTAATTTCCTGTAGACCCGATCCGTAAGTATTTGAACAATAACTCTGAGATACTGAAACTCATACACATTGAAATTTCTCCCAGTCTCAATTAATTTGTGAAGATTTCCACCAGAGGGACTAGTAAAATCATGGCATTGCAGTTGTTCTATGTTAGTGCTTTTGGATGCATAAAAGAAGCAAACAATAATGGCAAGAAGATAACAGAAATATTTTCTGGAAATTCCCCTTTGTATCCAATCTTACTTAATCCGGAACACCATGAAGCAAAAGACTTGAAAGCTCAAATCCCATGAGCAAAGTACTTGTATGCACTTTAAAGAAGCATCCGTAAGATTACTTTTGCTTTCAATGCAAGAATTTAATCAAGAAATGACTAAGAGCAGACTCAAACGAAACAGCAGCTTATTTTATGATACACCACAATTTTATGATACAGGTCCGTGTAACACTTAACATTCAAATTTCTAAAAGATTTTGAGTTTTAGAATGTTAATATATTAGATCAAAATTCTATATTAATAACCGGAGACTCATTTGGTATATTGAAATTTAATATTTTAGTTAAAAATCTAAATGTTCTTAATTCCAAACAGGTTTTGAAATGTTAATAATTTCGATTTTTACCTTAAATGTTCACAATGCAGATTTCCAAAAACGATTTTTTGTAATTTAAACGTTTGGGTGTCTAATCTACCGTTTGTATAAAAAGTTTACACTTAACAATCTAAAGTTCGGTAATATTTTTCGTCCGTTTATTTTTTGAAATTAGCTTCAAGCTTCTAAAATCCAACTTTGAAACGTTTTAGATTATTAGAAATTTGGAATTTTGATTCAAATGTTCTACTTTAAAATAACCTAAACACTTTGAGTTTTTAGAATTTTACTTTAAATATCCAAAATATATACCAGGTTTGGAATTTGATATTTTTTATACTTGAAAAGTTGAGTGTTTGAATCAAAATTCTAAATTTCTAACAATCTAAAAGTTTGAAAGTTGGAAGTTTGAAGTAAATTCTGAATAATCAAAAGACGAAGAATGTTATTGAATTTTAGATTGTTAAGCGTAAACTTTCTGAAGAAACTGTAGATCAAAAAGTCAAAAGTTTAAAATACAAAATTTGTTTTTGGAAATTTGAATTTTAAATATTTAAGGTAAAAATCTAAAATATTAAAATTCTAAAACGTGTTTGGAAATTTGAAAATTTAGATTTTTGAACTAAAACATAAAATTTCAATATACCAAATCAATCTGAGTTTTTGAAATTTAGAAATTTGAACTAAAATATTAACATTCTAAAACTGTAAATTATTTTTAAAATTCGGACCGATACACCACAAGAGCAACATGTAAGTCATTAGATTATTTGACTTTAATGTGCATTTTTCATTTCTGTCAGTAAAAGTA